AGGGGTTCATCGGTCCCAGAATAAAAAACGGTCCGTTTTTCTTTCAACAGGCTCTCCTGCTGGGCCATTGGTTGGTTTCATTCTCGGCCAATTAGAAGATTATTGCACTCCGTTGCTGAATCTCCCTTGCTCGTCTGCGATCAATTGGCGTGAATACGTGACCAGTCCGACTGAGAGTTATTGGAGTTACTTAATGAATGGTTGGTTATAAGAGGCTATGGCAGTACTGCACTCGCCCCCCTTACGCTCGAAAGCGTCCGCAACCATGGCATCCACCCTTGCTTTAAACATTCTCGGCTTCTAGGCTGTTCTTCTGTAGGACTTGCATTGACACTAAACAGCTTTTTGTTTTACTCATTTAAAACGTGTTTTGTAATTATCTTGACACAACTTTTAATAAGACGCTGAATAAGCACCATGCAAACGACTTTTTTTTCTTATTTACTAGTTTGTAACTGTTGGGATACTTCTAGCTGAGGTTCCTGGATGTGTGTTAGTTCGACCATTGCAAGCGATGATGGCCTGCATAGACTACTTCGTATCCCACAGATATGTCGTTATTCGGCATTGGGTCTGACGTGCCCGATTAGACCCATACGTCGACACATCGGCTGTAATTTTCGTGTGGCTATTTGAAGGAACTCCTCGCCGGCAGACCGCTTTCTCGTTTGTGCAGGCTGTTCAATCAGCCTAGTCTTCATGATTTCTGAATGTGACAGTCAACGACCCAAATAAACAGGGTGTTTGCTTAGGAGGCGCTTTTCTGTAATGCGTACAAGGTACTATTTGCTTATAACAGTTTACTAGCTCAATTTATCGGTAATTCGGTTGACTGTGGCCCACGGTAACTTTACAAAAAATTAAAGTCTTAACGGAGGTAAACTAAAAGCCAAATTCCCCAAATGTTCCTCGACTGTGAAAGGACGTGTGTAGGAATCTCTTGGTGGTTTTTTATGAAGACAAGCGGAGTCGGTAAAATGATAGCCATAACTCCACGAATATGTTCACAATCACATTTTGATGAAATGTGGGAACCCTTGAGGTAAGTCCTTCGTCTGTTACGCGTAACTGGCGCGATTCGAGGCGGAATTTAAGCAAAATTTTTGACCACATTACCAGACTAAAGAATTCCTGAACCAAGGATGGATCCGCATGATACTGATCCTGTAGCACACTTCTTACCGAATAAACTCTGACGGCAAATCCATTCATCGTCTGTGGTACTCATTTTCAACACAAACTCGCTACCATTATACGGAATGGAACCCCAATTAGTTAACTACGGATTTCGAAGGGGTAGAAATCGATAAGACTCCACTTTTAGACAAGTTTTTTTCTTCAGTTTCTACACGAAAGTAATAAATGTTCACAGAAGAACTGTTAATTGCAGCAGTGCAGACATGGTAACGACGAGCGACGACTTAGTAGATGCTAAGGCTTTTTGGAGCCCCACAATCTGTATCATTATTCAGCTATGGCAAAATAAACTCGCTCAGGCTTTTGGGATCTAAATGGTAGACCTAAGCAGTATGTAGACAACTGCAGTTATTGGCAGGGGAATAGAGCCCGCTTACGAACAGAGTCGACGTAATGACAGAAGATAAATGCAAGCAGGATGTTATTTCTAGTTGTGCGAATTCAGGCAAAGTTACACTAGCCGAAGCAAACCCTGAACGGCGCTCTAGTACCGTCTGTAAGTTAACGCACCGGCAGTGAGTCACACTTTAACTAGCCACACCTAAGGGCGACAGTCTGGCCACGGGCCGGCAGAAACCAGCACAGATGCGAACACACCAACAAGCCGCGCGGATGACTGACAGGCCGAGCTGAGAATTTTGACTGCCTCCTCGTCCTGGCGTTATGATTGGTTGATGGTGCCAGTCATTCAGCCAATCGACTATCAGTTTGCAGTTCTGACTACGACGACACAGGCAACTGTATATTTTCTGAAAGCTGATTGGTAGAGATGTCTAGTCTTCGCCTGAATTTGAGGCGACGCGCGCTAACCTATGTCATGCATGCGGACGCGCGGGGTGTCTGCAGTCTTCTAGAAAGGGCAGTTATGCGCTTTTGTTCGTAGATCTCTGACGCGCCTTTACTGGAGGCATACCATCCAACGACTTCATGTATAGGTGACCTTCGCCCTATAAAAGCATTAAAACATGCCGAGCGCAACTAATGACAGCTTCACTGAAGACTTGTTGAACGATCAGATGCTGGCCTTCATGAACAATGTAGATTACGGTAGCCTTTCTAGTAGAGGATCTACAAACGGAATTAACACGATCGGACTTCCCGCTAGCACTCAAAAGGCCCTTTCGCTGGATAAGAACGGTGCTCTATCTCTTTCTAAAGGTCACCCTGGTGCCCCGGCTACCTGTAACTCTCCGACTCACCACATGTCCACGGGGTTCGCTGCGCTGGCCTCACCTGGCATGATGAACAAATATGCTCCTGGAACGTTGGGTCATATGTTTTCAAACCCTAATAGCACAAAGCCAATGGACGATTATCACAGTCTACAGAACTCTCCTTTCTACAATCATTACCCCGTGAACATGAATTTTCATCCGATAAAGCGACAAAATTCTCCTGGCAACGGTGTCCTCCTATCTTGTCAGAGCAATGGAGTTAGTCCTAGAGACAATGGTAACATAACTTCCGAATGTCAGATTCCTCCACCTCGACAACCTCCTCAAAGAGAGCTCTTTCCACACGCGTTTCCTAGATGTGATCCAAGTATGGCCAACGCAATATCTCTTAACTCAGGTTCAGGTCTCCTTATGCAGGATCGACTACAATATTACGTTTTCGCACAGAAACAAGGTTTTATTGTTGGACCCGAGTTAGACAGAATAAAAGAGAATTCTCGACGTTCCACAAGCCATTCATATGGGCGGATTTCAGCTCACTTTCGCAACCGTTATGGAGAGACCGAAGCCAAGACCAAAGCGTCTTACATGCAACTTGGAGTTCGAGTCCCCAGCAAGGATCACGTATCGGAAATTGTTGGGAAAGGAGGTACGTTATTTCTTTCGCGTCACTGTGACACGTTCTTTGATTGCTGTTGCTTTTATTTGATGAACAATCAGCATAATGAACATGCCTCTGAACTGGATGCCCCACGAACCACATTTATGATTTCGCGGCT